GACCAGGCTCTAGTAATTTCTCTTTAGGACAGGCCTTTGCTAGGGATAATAGGATACTACAAACCTATTTTTAAATGGTTACTCTTCCTCTTCTCAAAACACAGGGAGATTTTCCTTCTATCTTCACCATGAGAACCTTGTGAGGATTCTGGAGCTAAAACTAACAAAGGTGTGGGGGTCCTCCTAAGACTAGTGTTCTCTGCGTTTTAACACCATAGCTAGTCCACACTTGGCTTTCAGTAATTCATCAATAATTGTTAGGCACCTGCTAACATCTAAGCATTCCTACCACCAGTTACTGGCCATTATAGCTGCTTCTCCTGATAGGCTGTGATTTTCTGTATTGACCTGTCTCTCCAGTTTTTGGAGTGATAGTTTGTCCAGTAACTTCAAGTCTCTGGAGGATCTAAGAAGACTCACTTATCAGTTTTTCAGCTTTTTCTTGTCATGCGAGTGCTGACTTTTAAGCTCTTTACATGTTAGAGCAGGCCTCAGCTTGATTCTAAGCAATATGAATACATTAAGTTTACCATCTTATTCATTTGTCTGCACCATAGCACTTAGATTTCTTTTAGACAACTTATTCCCTTACTAAGTAATTCTTTAACCTTTGGAAAGTGAAGGGCTTAATAAATGGATTCAGTAAAGTTATAGGATATAACTTTGCAACGTGCAAAATTAGTACTAAAAAGTTAGGATAAATTAGTTCTGAGATCTACTCTCTAGCATGGTGACTATATTGTATTAATATCGTATTCTTGAAAATCGCCAATAAAAAAGGAAACAAGAGCAACTGTAGGGGGGCAAGGGCAGGAAGGTGAACTCACTTAATGATAACAAAATGTAGGATGGTCTTAAAATATAGCTATTTTAACTATTTTAAGAAATACTGTCCAAATCCCTCCAGGTAAATATTTAAAGAAAAGAAAAGAAAAAGCAATGTTGGCTAATTTAGTGCTAGATTTCTAATTCTATACTACAGTTGATTTCAACAAAAGTAGAGCCAAAAATACAAACTAATACATAGTTAATAAATAATTATTATTTAGGAAGAACCACCATCAAGAAGCTCTGAATCTGAAAGTAAAAAAAAAAAAAAAAAAACCTTAAAGTATTACTGACAGAGAAGAGAATGTTAACATATGGCTTTAGAAAAAGTAAGTATAATTGGTTAAAATTCATTCATTCAACAAATATTTATAAAATGTTAACTATAAGCCAGATACCATGCAAAATACTCACGTAAGGATAAAAAAAAAAAAAACTAACAGCCAATAGTCTAAAGGGGAGATAATTCATAAAATAAGTCATTGCCATTAAATGTTATAATGATGGTGTGGAGCCCAGAAAAAAGATTATTTCTTTGTTCAGATGTATTGCTTATAACCTGGTGAAAGGCAGAGAAAGCTTCATCACGAAGATGGTGGTTTAAACCATACCCTGCATTACCAATTGCCGTCTTTCCCTTCTCTTAAGTCACTCATCATAGGAGAAGAGAGTTAGAAAGCACGCTCAGCTCAGTGCTGTCCCTGCTAATTTAGATGTGTCTGCCCACAGAGAAGACACATTCTTCTCATCTCCCCTAGTGTGGCAAAAACCTTGTTACCACACTGCTTATAAGCAATGCTTATAGCTATGCATGGGATGAGGTACATAAGTCTAATTCAAGGTGAAGTGTTAGAAAGTCTACTTGCCTGTAACATCAAAAGCCATTTTTTACCAGAAATGAAGAATCCTAGCACTTTGAGAGGTCACGGAAGGTAGATTACTTGAGCTCAGGAGTTGAAACCAAATTAAGCAAGAACAAGACTATCTTCACTTAAAAAAAAAACGGCCAGCTATGGTGGATGCCTACAGTCCCAGTTACTCAGAAGGCTGAGGCAAAAGGACTGCTTCAGTCCAGAAGTTTGAGGTTGCTGTGAGCTAATGCCACAGCACTCTAGCCAAGGCGATTAAATGAATAAAGGTGATATTTGATTTCTGGGTGCCTTCTTAGTTTTATACATGGGTAAGGAAGAGCAATATTATTGATCGGGTATTGCCAATCCCAATGAACTCTATGTGCTACGCCACTTTAAAAATATATAAGATAATGCATATTTCACTGGAACTTAAAGTACAGAGTGCATAGGAAAGAATGACAAACGGTGAAGGGAGATTATACCCACTACAGGTCAAAGGACGCTATACTTTATCTTGCTGCCAATGGGAAACCATTAATTGTTTATAAGAAGGAAAGTGACAAAAAAATTTATGTTTTAGAAAAATAATTCCTACAGCAAGTGAAAAGAATCCCGGGACAATCATTAGAAAGGTACTGCAGAAGTTACGGGGTGAAGGTACTGGTCAAATAAATTATGATATACATGGATAGCAAAACTATGAAATGCTATGTAGCAGTATAAAAGAATGAGATTCATCTTTATATACAGACAGAAAGATCTAAGATATACGCTTAACTCACAAAAAAATTAAATTAGACTGGGCGCCAGTAGCTTAGTAGGTAGGGCGCCAGCCACATACACCAGAGCTGGTGGGTTGGAACCCGGCCCAGGCCAGCTAAACAACGACAACTACAACAAAAAAATAGCCGAGTGTTGTGGTGGGTGCCTGTAGTCCCAGCTACTTGGGAGGCTGAAGCAAGAGAATTGCTTGAGACCAAGAATTTAAGGTTGCTGTGAACTGTGACGCCACCGGCACTCTACGAAGGGCCACATAGTGAGACTGTCTCCAAAAAAAAAAAAAAAAAAATTAAGTTGGAAAACTGTATATATAATATGATATCATTTATATTAAACACATCATAACATGCATTTTCTATAATTACACATAGTCAGGTATTGCTTAACAAAGAGAATACATTCTAGGAAATGCATCCTTGGGTGATCTTGTTATTGTGGAAACATCAGAGAGTGTACTAACAAACCTAGATGGTACTACAGCCCATTGCTTCTAGGCTACAAACCTATATACCTAGCACTTTACTAGGCTGAGTGCCATAGGCAACTATAAGAAAATGGGAAGCATCTGTGTATCCAAATGTATCAAATGACAGAAAAGGGTAAAGTAAAACTACAGTATTATAACCTTATGGGAGTACTGTTGGCATATTTGTACTGACATCAACTGTAATATTACTTTGTGTGTATGATAAAGTGACCATATTTTAACATTGGTAAAGCTGGACACCATTGGCGGGGGGGGG